TTCTGTTTTTATTCTCCTCATTGAATGTATGGTTCCAAGCCTAATATAACACATGGCATTGATACCTGCTCTGAAGACAATAACTGTTAATTTCCTTCAAAGCTTTTTAGTGGTGTTCATCACCAGTATATATGTGCTTCTCAACTATTAACTAACCTAATACCTTCAGAACAATGACATAAGGTAAGGCAATATTATTCCCATTTTACAGATGAGGACTGGAGGCACACAGATTAAGTCCAACATTTTCCAAGAGTTCCACACATTGATGCCTAATTCTTCAGGCTACTTAGCATTTTTATAATCAAAACCATCAAACACAATTCCCATGGACTTCAGTTCCAGTTGTGGCCCTAAATAATACTGCATATCTGACCTCATTTATTTCATATTGGGCATTTAACAAAACTTTGGTTAAAATGACTAATCCAGTATCATATAGGAACTGTGACATAGGTAGGAATATCATTTCTCTCTCCAAGACAGCATGCAACTTCCATGACACTATTTTGAAACTCCCTGCTTCATTCATTCCTGTGTACCTTCTAACCTCTACAACAAAAGAGGCAAAGGACCTTCCACAATACACTGCTACTTCACTTCCTAGACAATTTCATCTTGTGCATGGAAAAAGGCAGGGATCCTGCGACCACATAATTAAAATCTGCATCATGATGCCTACAGAGAACAGAGTTAAATAATATCGGTATGGGCAACCTTCATTCTGATATCTTTAACTTTTTAGTGATTGACTTTGCAACCTTAATGCTTTTAGTATCAAAGAACTAGAGAGAGGTAAGGGGGTAGATATAATTACCATTTATTGCTCTAATTAAGAAACAAGAAAACCCAGGAATTGTATTATGGCAAAGAATATTGCTGTGAGTTGGGTGTGAGTTGCCACCCAAATTTGGGTCACTGAGCGAGTTGCCACATTTAAATCCACACCACTGACCCATACCATGTGAGATAACAACTTTATTATTACACACAATTGGGTATCTAAATAAATAGGCTGATTTTCTGAAGTACTGGGCAGATATAACTCCTATGAAGTCAATGGGAACTGCCTATGCACTCAGATCCTGATTCATGTAACCATGAGTCCAGGAAACCATGTAAGCATATGCCTTGCTTTAAGTACGTTCTTAACCATTCACTGGAAACTAAACAGGCATATAAGCTGTCCTGAACAGGGGCCTTACCTACCACTGTGCTGGGAGAGGTATAAAAAAACTTTAGATAGGTGGATATATAGAATGGTGGATATATAGCATTCAGTTCCTAACTGTAGGCAGAAGCACTTGAAAATATTGACCTTATGAGGTTCATTTTCTTCATTTTAAAACACAGACTACATTTCTTTCACAGCAGTTATGTGGGGTTGAAGATCTAATCCTGTTCCCATTAAAATCAATAGAAAGACTCTAGTCAACTTCAATAACAGCAAACCTTTTAACAGTTCAAACATTTGTAAAGGGGCATGCAGATTTGTATTTTTATTTATTAAATATCAGTTTGGGAAAGTAATGCCAGATTATAGGTTAATGTATAAAGGTGCTCAGCTGCAAACTGTGACTTGCTTACTGTTGTTTGTCTCTCTTTCTTCATCTGTAATGATCTGAAGGGTTGGAGAGAGAATTTTGAACCAGCTAACATGAAAAAGAGAAAACTGAAACAAAATTATTTAAGTCTAGCACCAAGGGAGTGCTTTAGCATGCTCATCTTCTGGCTACTGTTATTGATCTTATGTAGCAGGGGAATCAGGCCATGAATATGAGTTATGAAAGTGGCAAACTTTTTGAACTTTATTATATTGGCCTGGGATTCAGCCCTTATTGGAACTGAAAGGGAAATTGTTTTGGGGATATGTCAGATTCAAGGCAATTTGTTAACAACGTAAAGGGAGGACAGTTGTAGATACAGGATGGGAGAATGAAGAAACCGCAAAACAAAATCACGTACTACTTTGGGTAATGTTCAAATTGTTGCGTATTTTAAGTGTGCTACCGTACCATTGCAGCAAAAGTTCCATTCAATAAAACCAAGAAAATGTGAGCTCCTAAATGTGGCTTCTTGCTTATAAATGTTGTCTAATCTCTAAATTTATAGAAGTTAGGGCTAATTGTTCATCTAAAGGCCATTTCAGTCAATGGCCAGCCTGGAGAACTGGGGCTGATGCCACAAACATAAGGTAGATAAAAAGGAGACGTCTCAAAAGGAGATTAGGATGGGTATTATTCAAAGGGGAGTTTTTGGACTTGAGAAGGGTTACTAGTGGTGTTCCTCAGGCATCAGTCCTTTGACCTATCTAGTTTAACATTTTTATCAGCAACCTTGGCACTGGAACTAGAAGAGCAATTGCAACATTGGCAGACAATATTAAGCAAGGGGGTATTCCCAACATAGAAAAAGACCAGATTATTATACAGAAAGATTTAGATAATTATGTGGAATGAAGCATTGGAAATGGAATTAAGTTAAAAATATGAAGTGCAAAGGCTTGTACATAGGGACCAATAATAAAGATTTTAGCTATAAATTGGAGGTGCACAGACTGCAGACATCTAAGAAAGATAAGGACACTCATGTACTTTTTGATGCTGGGATGATGATCAGCCGCTAGGGAACTGGAACCTCAGCTATAGCTGGGCGGGTTTGACTGTGGTACACTGATATTTTTGCTGGGACTTAAAAAAAGCTACAGCTCCCTGGCTAGAGAGTTTTGTTCTTCATTTCAGAATTATGCCAATTATCATATTTAGGTATCAGGAAGAACTCTTTCTCCTATGTCAGTGGTAGAATCTGCCACAGATCTTGTTTGCCTCTGTAACATAGGGCATGGTCCTTCTGGAATCTCTTGAGTTCTTGGCAGTGTCCTCCTCTCCCCTGCTTTTCCTGATGGCTTGTTATACAGTGTTGATTATTACGCTTTGTAGTTGTGTGATGGTTTGAAATGGCAATTTCAGGTGAACATCTGCCTGTAAAAGGCAGTGGGCTTAATGGCACAGGAGGTCCAGTTCTGTGTTACTATGACTTGATCGGATCCACCATAACCTCATAAGGCTGTATTATTGTGTAGGCAGCCTAGGACCTTGATACCTAGGGTTATGGCAGGGGCTGTCAACCAGGTGTACACATCTGGAAGGGGGTACATTCCAGAAGGGGAACCCACCAGAAGGGGCACACTCCTTAAAAAGGTTGAAAAGCCCTGGGTTATGGGATTGCAGCAGAATCTCAGCTCTCATTTAGAAGGCTAAGTTTCTGGCCCCCATGGGTGTAAAAAAAAGCTTGGAAATGTGCCTTAATGTCCATGTGAAATAATAGCTCTAAACTGCCCCATGCCTCTCAGTGTAGTATTAACTCCTGCAGCCATTAATGCACTGAAGGAGACTTCAACACTCTCCTCAGAGGACTGAGGTGCTAGAAGCACAAATGTGCAGTGGGCCTAGCCCATCTGTCCAAGCAGAAACACCCCAATGGCTGAGAAACATAAAAGACTCCATCCTGACAGGGCTTCTCCAGCATTTCTAGCTGGTGTTCAGCTGTTATACTAGCATCCACAAGCTTTCCACTGTCTCCAAAAGCTAGGGGCCTTGTGGTGGCCAGAACCAGAGGGGTTACTATCACGAGCAATGAATATATGCTCTTGGAGACATCCAGGCAACTGTCTAGCAGTTAAGATTAGCTAATGCAAAGCTTGCAAGTTTTCAACCCACAAGTGGAATTTGTCTGTCACAATTTAACCAAAGTGTTGAATCTAACTGTTTGCACTGCTCATGGGACTGACTGGGCCCCAAAAATAAGCAGAACTACAAGATTAACTGATCTAACAGTTTTTTTAAAGATCACCCATAACAAGATCTGACCACCTAATATAATTAGCACATTCTAAGGAATCTAAGGAATAAGAAACCAAGGGGTTGAGCTTGGGCAGAGTAATGCTATTTTCAAACCTCAAAGTAATGTGGTGTAATTTGCTTATTGGGTGAACCCGCGTTTGGGCGGTAACCTTTCATGATAATTTCTAACACCTTTTAATCCTATAGGGTAACAGCTATAGGGCAAGATTGTGAGAGGCTCTAAAGCCAACAGATTACAATAAGATAAGGCATAAAGGAACGTGCATGTCAAGTGACCAGTTTGAAGGACAGGACAGAAGGGCCATCACTGTACCAAGCCTGGACCCCGGACTCCTAGTGTGAGTGAGGACTGGATCCTGACCAAGGGACCTTCCTGGTGACGCCTCAGACAGTGTTGACTGGGGACGCCTGAATTTCATAGTTTCATAGTTTCTAGGGTCGGAAAGGACCTGA